CTGCTGCTGCTGCTGCTGCTGCTGCTGCTGCTGCTGCTGCTGCTGCTGCGGCTGCTGCTGCTGCTGTTGGTGTATGCAGCGGCAGCTGCTGCTGCAGCAACTGCAGCAGCTGCACTCTTCCCTCCAGCTGCAGCGCCGGTGGCAACAGCTGTTGCACCTCCTGCTGCTGCTGCTGCTGTTCCATCTGCTGCTGCTGCTACTTCTGCTGCAGCAGCAACACCTTCTGCTGCTGCCTCCCCCTGCTGCTGCCGCAACCACCGACTGTTCCTTCGAGCAGCACCAGCATGTGCAGCAGCAGCAGGCGCTGCTGCTGCTGCTGCTGCTGCTGCTGCTGTGTCAGCTGCAGCAGCAGGGTTGAGGGAGATACTAAGAAAGCACTCGCACCAGTGGGCTCTGCTGCCTCTTTCGTTTGCTGCTGCAGCAGCAGCAGCAGCAGAAGCATTGTGCTGAGATATAGCTGCTACATTCTTGTCCCCGAACGAACGTCTCCGAGGGGTGCTGCTGCTGCTGCTGCTGCTGCTGCTGCTGTTGCTGCTGCTGCTGCTGCTGCTGCTGTACCTGTCGCCTGCAGCGCAAGACCTCAACCTTTTGCCTGAGCCCTCTGCAGCGGCAGCAGCAGCAGNCTGTACCTGTCGCCTGCAGCGCAAGACCTCAACCTTTTGCCTGAGCCCTCTGCAGCGGCAGCAGCAGCAGAAACCGGAGCAGCAGCAGCAGCAGCAGCGGGAGCAGCAAGAAGAGCTGTCGGTGAGGTTGGGCTTTCCTTCGCATCACGGTCCTGCTGCTGCTGCTGCTGCTGCTGCTGTTGTTGCTGCTGCTGTTGCTGCTGCTGCTGCTGCGCTGCAGCAGCAGCAGCAGCTTTTCTCGCTGAACGATTAAATGAAATTTGCACGGGGGAGACGGGACAGCGACAAAGCAGACGAATCCAAATATCTTGATCTGCTGCTGCTGCTGCTGCTGCTGCTGCTGCTGCTGCTGTTGCTGCTGCTGCTGCTGTTGCAGTTGTTGCTGCGGTTGTTGCTGTTGCGGTTGTTGCTGTTGCTGCTGATGGTGATGGTACTTCTGCTGCTTTTGCTGCTGCAGGGCTACGCCTGGCCCACTTCGGCCGTTGCAGTTGCTGCTGCTGCTGTTGCTGCTGCTGCTGCTGCTGCAGCAGCAGCGGAGGTTTGCTGCTGCTGTCTTTGCAGCTGCTGCTGCATGCAACTGCTGCGCCACGCTGCGTATTGGGTTCCTCGTTCTCCTGCTGGTTATTTATTTTGCTGCTGCTGCTGCTGCTCTTGATGCTGCTGCTGCTGCTGCTGCTGCTGCTATCAGCTGCTGAGCCCTCTGCAGCAGCTTGCTGCTGCGCTGCTGCAGCAGCAGAACGGGAGAAGTCATAAAGGCTGAGTTTCTCCGCTGCTATCCTGAGGGGTTCTAGCTGCGGCAGCAGCAGCTTCTTGCTGCTGCTCCTACCGCTGCCGCTGCTGCTGCTGCTGCTGCTGCTGCTGCTGCTGCTGCTAGCCAGGATTAGCGCCCCCAGCTGCAGCACGAACTGCCGCCCCAGCTCTCTTTGCTGCACTGCTGTGGCGCTGTCTGCTGAAGGGGGGAGGTTATAGAGACTAGGAAACCTGCTGCTGCTGTTGCTGCTGCTGTTGCTGTTGCTGTTGCTGCTGCTGCTGCTCGCTGCTTCATCCTGCTGCTGTTGCTGCTGCAGGGAATCCAATGGATCCTGTTGCTGTCGCTGTCGCTGCTGCTGCTGCTGCTGCTGCTGCTGCTGCGCATACAACAGAAGCTGCTGAGGTAAGGAGCGTGAAGCTGCAGCACTCTCCCTATGGTCTGCTGCTGCTGCTGCTGCTGCTGCTTCTGCTGCTGCTGCTTCCTCTGCTGCTGCGCTGCTGGCGCCCAGCTCTGTCTTCACCTTCGCCCGTTTGCTGCAGGGAGACGTGGGGCTCTGCGGTGTACCTGGATGCGGCTGAGCAGCAGCAG